AGCCTGTGATCTACCAACATCAATCATTTGCAAACGCCTGATGTACCATCATCAAACAGTTCTAAACGCCTGATGTACCATCATCAAACAGTTCTAAACGCCTGATGTACCATCATCAAACAGTTCTAAACGCCTGATATCCCATCATCAAACAGTTCTAAACGCCTGATGTCCCATCATCAAACAGTTCTTTATGCCAGTATTTTGTCCCCGCGTTTGAGTTTTAAATATGTACACTCATCTGTCGTCGTCTGCTACTTCTTTGAGTGTCAAGTTACCTTGTGACAACTTGACCGACCAAACTTCGTCTGCTACTTGTTGAACGCCAAGTTACCATGTGACAACTTGGCAAAGAGTAACTTTTGGCAGCCATTACGTTCATTGCCGGCGCTTTTTCAAGTCGCACAAAACAAATAAAATTTCTAAACATTTTTACTTGCCGAAAGACTTAGAGGCATTAATCGAAGGACGCTATTCAAGCCCTCGCGTTATTTTTTCCATGATAATTAAGTTATTTATTTCATATCGATTCAATATTGAAACGAATTATAAAGAAGAGTAATATATTTTATATAGCCCAGAATATGAACTGTCTCTTATACACATCTAGATGTGTATAAGAGACAGTCCTNGAAAATATAAGGGTTATATGGTCCAAATTGTGGTACATGATCAGTTAGCTTCCTAACTGATCATGGTCGCACACGAAGGAAAATATAAGGGTTATATGGTCCAAATTGTGGTACATGATCAGTTAGCTTCCTAACTGATCATGGTCGCACACGAAGGAAAATATAAGGGTTATATGGTCCAAATTGTGGTACATGATCAGTTAGCTTCCTAACTGATCATGGTCGCACACGAAGGAAAATATAAGGGTTATATGGTCCAAATTGTGGTACATGATCAGTTAGCTTCCTAACTGATCATGGTCGCACACGAAGGAAAATATAAGGGTTATATGGTCCAAATTGTGGTACATGATCAGTTAGCTTCCTAACTGATCATGGTCGCACACGAAGGAAAATATAAGGGTTATATGGTCCAAATTGTGGTACATGATCAGTTAGCTTCCTAACTGATCATGGTCGCACACGAAGGAAAATATAAGGGTTATATGGTCCAAATTGTGGTACATGATCAGTTAGCTTCCTAACTGATCATGGTCGCACACGAAGGAAAATATAAGGGTTATATGGTCCAAATTGTGGTACATGATCAGTTAGCTTCCTAACTGATCATGGTCGCACACGAAGGAAAATATAAGGGTTATATGGTCCAAATTGTGGTACATGATCAGTTAGCTTCCTAACTGATCATGGTCGCACACGAAGGAAAATATAAGGGTTATATGGTCCAAATTGTGGTACATGATCAGTTAGCTTCCTAACTGATCATGGTCGCACACGAAGGAAAATATAAGGGTTATATGGTCCAAATTGTGGTACATGATCAGTTAGCTTCCTAACTGATCATGGTCGCACACGAAGGAAAATATAAGGGTTATATGGTCCAAATTGTGGTACATGATCAGTTAGCTTCCTAACTGATCATGGTCGCACACGCAGGAAAATATAAGGGTTATATGGTCCAAATTGTGGCATATGATCAGTTAGCTTCCTAACTGATCATGGCCGTACATGCAGGAAAATATAAGGGTTATAAGGTCCAAATTGTGGCAACGTTTCTTACATTTAAACGTAGCATACACACAGAATAATTATGGGTCACATTTATCACATAATAACGATTTTCCAGGCCAAAATGGGTCAGAGTGACCCATACACGAGCATAAATTATATCGTTATTCGGATAAAATGTCTCAATATTTTCCTTGATTTTAGATAACTAATTTTTAAATTTTAGGCCAAAATTTACGATTTTTTAATCGTTTTGCCTGAGCGGAGTTTTTCTTCTTCGCGTTTTTATGAATATATTTTTTTCGCTTTATTCAGTCATGAATCTGAGACCAGGGACATGAATTCATGACATAGATTATTATTTTTTTAAACTGTGTACTTCCGGCTAACTCACGAATTATCTATGAAAGTTCTTCAGTGATATCTAGAGAATTTCTTACTTCCTCATCTGTTAGCACACAGCAAACAGTTACTTGAAATAATTAAAAATAGTTGATAGAGCAGTAATCACCCATCATATCAATGCAATTTACATACTCCAAACGTATTGACATCGACTTCATACATACGGAGTATTATTTATTTCCGATAACGCTATCTCACCATGACAATTAGTTATTAAAAATAAAAAATGGTAATAACAGCTGAATTCAAAGTCAAGCTAGAGTTCATTTGTATCGATGAACACCTTGTAATTTTCGAGTCACTATGAAAATCTGTTATTAGAATATCACAACAGGGAATACTTACATTCAGGCTACAATATAATTGTAGCTGTTTTAAATGTCCGATAAATTAAACCTAAATTCTCAACAAATGAAAATAAATTGATAATTTGCAGTGATGCTAAAATACACTTCTCACACTTTCATGTATATGGTATTTTCATATGTGCGTTTAATATTTAATAAATATTATAT